CAGTCTCTCAGTTCCCCAGTTCCTGAGAGGGGAATTGGAGTGGTCCAGCTAGTCTTTTCAGGCCAGTCCTTATAAACCTTAGGTCATGGCTAATCTGGGACAGCCCCATCACCCCTACCGCAATATAAGCAGCAATGGCTAAACAGTCGCATAGTGTGGGATATGGACATTGCGGGCAGCAGAAGTTTGTGGCAGGACAGATACTAGCGCTCATTCAAGGAATATTTATTGAGTGTTTGCCATGTGTGCAAGCCACTATGGTGGGAGCTGGGGGCTATAAGGGTGGAAAAGACTGATACGGTCCCTGAAACTTTGTGGAGGGAAGTGAGTTTTACACGAGGGACAGAACAAAATCCATGACTGTGTTGAGTCCTAAGAAGGAAATAGAGTGATATGGTTACTGGATGAAGGTAGAGGAGATTTCTTTTATTTATTTATTTATTTATTTATTTATTTATTTTTAAAGATTTTATTTATTTATTTGACAGAGATCACAAGTAGGCAGAGAGGCAGGCAGAGAGAGGGGGAAGCAGGGTCCCCGCTGAGCAGAGAGCCCGATGTGGGGCTCCATCCCAGGACCCCGGGATCATGACCCCAGCCGAAGGCACAGGCCTTAACCCACTGAGCCACCCAGGCGCCCCTCATTTATTTATTTTTAAAAAGATTTTATTTATTTGACAGACAGAGATCACAAGTAGACAGAGAGGCAGGCAGAGAGAGAGAGGGGGAATCAGGGTCCCTGCTGAGCAGAGAGCCCAATGCGGGGCTCAATCCTAGGACCCCGAAATCATGACCTGAGCCAAAGGCAGAGGCTTTAACCCACTGAGCCACCCAGGCACCTGGAGGAGATTTCTTTTAATGGGATGACACAGAAGGCCTCTTTGTAGAAATGATTTTTGAGCTGAAACCTGGGGATGGAACATAAAGGCTTTTAGTGGGAAAGAACTTGGCCTGTTTGAAGAAAAAAAGAAAAGAAAAGAACAAAAACCCAAATTTGCCAACTGAGCAGAGTGAGCAAGGGGTGACGTCGGAGAAGTAGTCAGGGGCCTGATTATGCAATGCTCTGTAGCCCCCAGTGAAGGGGATGGTAACCAGACCCTCCCAAGGCCCAGCCTATCAGATACACGCAGAGAACATTTGGAGCAGCTCGGCATGGAGAAGAATAGCTGGACAACTGCTAGAAGGTGGTGGTAGTAGGAGGGGGAGTTTTGGTGACATTGAGAATGTCACATTCCTGAGAATGACTTACAGTTTTGCAACCGCTTAAGTTTTAAGAACTTCGGTGACCTATCAATGCAGTCAGTGAAAGGTGACTCGCAAGAAGTTGGTAGTGATCTCCATAGTTACTTCTCAGTCTTCTGTAATGAAGATACTGCATGGAAAGAAAATCACATTTATTCAACATGTCTCCATATTAGCTTATCTGCTATCCTTAGAGAAATCTTGAGAGCTAGGTTTTCTTATCCATGTTTTCCAGAGGGAAAATCAACGATCACAGAAATTAAGAAACATGTTAAAATCGCCAGCTACTTAGAGGCTGGCCTAGACTTTGAAAGCAAGTGAGTGCTTCTAAAACTAAAAAGTGGCCCTTTTATTGCTTTTTCTGCTTGATGATACTGTTTGAAAGAAAAAGGTACAATGTAGGTATAGAGATCATTCCCTTGGACTTGATGTGAAAGAAAGGGAATGATCAAAGGCAAGTAGTGTAATCAACCAGTCTTGAATGCCTCTTGCACCTCCCATGGGATCACTGTGTAGCTCCTCCAGTAGGAGGGTATATATATAAACTTTTCAAAATGTTAGAGAGGATGGTGTGGAACCAGTACCTGAGGAACATGTTCAGGAGAATAAATAGGAGGCAATATTTAGCTGTGGTGGCACTGGTCAGAGAAAGGAGGAGTCAGTTTGGATAACTAGAAAACTGAGCAGATGGTGGTGCTGTAAATATGTTGAAGGACTTGGTGCAGGTACAAGCTGCATCCCTCTATCCATTCTCTACTGGATCTCCTGTCTCTTCCCCCTGATAACATCTTGAGCAGATCTCCTAACTTTCAGGTCTTTTCTAATGATTTTAAAGCCCTTTCTATTTTTGCTTTCTGCTCAGTTTTGCTGTGAACCTAAAACTGCTCTAAAAAAGTTTATTTAGAAAAAAAAGTCCACTGTGGCCTAAATCAAAACATCAATTTCAAATCCAATTTTTTTTATTTTTAATTTTTAAAAATGATTTTACTTATTATTTGACAGAGAGAGATTGAGAGAATGAGTGGGAGGCAGGGCAGAGGGAGAAGCAGAATCTTCGGGAGCCCTACATGGTACTTGATCTCAAGGACCCTGGGATCATGACCTGAGCCGAAGGCAGATACTTAACCGACTGAGGCACCCAGTTGCTTTTCTATTTTTAATTTTTTAAAGATTTATTTGAGAGAGGAGCTTGCACAAGCAGGGAAGGGACAGAAGGAGAGACAGAGAGAGAGAGAGAACCTCAAGCAGGCTCCCCATTGAACGCAGAGCCCGATGGATGTGGGCTTGATCCCACAATGCTGAGATCATGACCTGGGCTGAAATCTAGTCTGTGCCACTCATCCGACGGAGACTCCATTTCTAATTTAAAGCTTCTCTCCTCTCTGACTCTTAGTTGGGAATTTGTGTTTAGCTTATATTTTTCCTCCCTTTTTTTTCTTCCCTCTCTCATTCTGCTCCTCTGGCATTAGGGGAAGGATTAAAGAAAGGAAATGAAAGTGTCTCACATGACTAATGTCATCAGAAGCAGAGATCCAGGTGCTGACTCTTTCTTTCTTTCTTTTTTTTTTTTTTTTAAGATTTTATTTATTTATTTGACAGAGGAGAGATCACAAGTAGGCAGAGAGGCAGGCAGAGAAAGAGGGGAGGAAGCAGGCTCCCTGAGGAGCAGAGAGCCCGACGAGGGGCTCGATCCCAGGACCCTGGGACCGTGACCTGAGCTGAAGGCAGAGGCTTTAACCCACTGAGCCACCCAGGCTCCCCGCTGACTCTTTCTTGTTGGGAGCATTTATGGGTCCTTTGGAGGCTATACCTGTGAACCTTAAGGTCCCTCTTCAGTCACTGCTTTTTGATGTCCACTCTTCCAGCCCATTACTGGGTCTTTTCACTCTGGTGAGAAGCTCTATTGAGTTAGCCACCCCACTATGTCAAACACAGTGCAGGCTGCCCCATTGCTTCCCTTTTTCCTTGTCCTGTTGTGGAATGTATCAGCCCTCTTCCCTAATTCAGAATTCTCTAGGCCCATATTGGTAAACACCTTCATGAATGTGCACGGAGGCCCCAACCTCCTGGAGAGACAGGTCTGGTTCACCTCAAAACTCTTACCAATGTGGATGCACAGAGATGGCTAAGTTGCTGTAGTCAGTGAGATTCACCAGCTCGGGAGAAAGATCTTGCAGACACCCCAAGTCTTTTGTAGTGCTCCCTCTTTATAGTGAGGTGAGCATTTCATCCTCTTCCATGATTTCTTCTAATGAATTCCTTTTGAACTTTTATCTCTCCCTGGTGGAAGCTGGAAGTAGATGAAGGTTTTAGGATTGGTCTAGTCATTTTTCAGTAAATCTTTTACTTACTAAAGTAGTAAGGATGAACTGGTAGGCCTCCTGTAAGAAGGTGAAGATACTTACTTCCTGCTGTTCTCAGCTGTGGAATTTTATAGCTCATTAGCATTTTGGCATGATATGTTAATTGCACACCAAATTGAGGAGGGAGGAATGCCCTTTCTAAGAAAAGAAAGACTTAGTTTTATACTGAGATTGATGGAATCTCAGAGTTAGGAGAACTCTAGAAGCCGTTTAATCTATTTCCCCACCATTGCTATGAATCCTATTTGCAACTTGATGAGATGTTAATCAATTTTCGTTTGGACACATCCAGGAACTAGGAATGCATTCCCTAACTTTCAGATCTCAGCTCTGCCAATTACCGTATGAGTTTCACCAAATCACTTTAAACCCGGTTCCTCACCTATGAAAGGAGTGTGAATAGCATCTTCTTCACAGAACATTGTTGGAAGGATAAGAGAAGATAAATATATAAATTTCCTAACCCAGTCACAGAGGAGTGCAATGTTGGTTCCCTCTCCAGGTCCCTTTAGGGTACAGCATATTCAGTTTTCGGATTGTCTTCACTGGAGAAATATCTTCTTCATATTGAACTGCCTCTATATTTTTAGCCCTTCCCTTAAGCTCACCCCTCAGTGGTCCTACAGAATGTCTTTTCTCCTTTCACTTGACAGCCCTTCAGTATCTGTGATTTTAGTTGAAGGAAGTGGAAATACTAGAAATATCCATTTTTTTCTTTTCTGAGTGGGGAGTCCAGGTAGCTGTTAGACTTCCGCGTGACCCCCAAGAGGGGTTTATTGAGTGAATGGGGCAAAGATGGTATTTCACTTTCTAACATCAGTTCTCCCCGACGCTGATGGGTTTAATCACAGGCTGGCTATGATTCTGTAGGATTCTAGCCTGCAACGTACGTGTGAGTGTGTGTGTGTGGGAGAAGAGAGGGAAAGAGAGAGAAAGAGAGAGATGTTGTTAGACGCTTGGACGCCTTTGAATGTTGCTCTTCTTTGTCTGGCACATCGTGAGCACTAATGCGATCGTTTATTGCCCTGAATGAATGGTTAAACGTGGAAGTGACAAAGGAAGCCAAGCGGCTTTCAAAGAATACCTAGGCGGGTGCTCCGAAAGTCCTCTCAAGGGCGAGCTAGGAGAGTTGCTGTTACGAGGCCTCTTTTGGGGTGGGTGGGGACTAGCCTTCGGTTCCAACGCTTAGGCACCGCCTCTTTGACTCGCGGGCTGGCCGCTAGGCGGTGCTGGGGAGCTTGCCGCCCACGAGCCCGGGCGCCCCAGCTCTTACCCTCACCCCTCAATCCCCGACAGGCAACAAGACTACAACTCCCGTAGTGCTCTGGGAACGGGAGAGAAGGGGGGCCATGGGGGGGGAAGAGGGAGGCGAGGGCGGGCTTTCCGGGAGTGTGTTTCCGGCGTCGGCGGCCGCGGCCGGGGACGGTGTGAAAGCGGTAAGATGGCGGCGGCGGCGGTGGTGGAGTTCCAGAGAGCCCAGTCTCTACTCAGCACCGACCGGGAGGCCTCCATCGACATTCTCCACTCCATCGGTAAAGGTCGCCGCGCCCCCTCTCTGACCCTGCCGGCTCAGCTGGGCTTGTGTGGGTCGGCGGCGACGGAGCGGGGCCGGGCTAGCCGGCTCTGGTGCTGCTGACTCACTGTGTGTGAGGGGGGCCGGGCCGGGGGCACAGGCCGCTCGCAGCTCCCTGGAGCCCCCTGGGTCCCACCCGGGTGGGACGCCTCGAGGCAGCCCCGGCGTCCACTTGCCGGCTGCTGACTCACGGTGGGCTCAGCGTGGAGTGAGAGGGTGGGCCGAACCGGGGCCCCCACCACTCCCCAGCCTTGCCCCCGCTCTGGCCCGTGCGGGCTGGCCCGGGACGGCGAGTAGTGCCGGCCGGCGGGATTGTTGCGAACAGGACTGAGAGCCTCGAGTTGAAGGGCCTTGGCGAAACCCGCTGTACACAGCGTTTCCCGCCGTTGTTATCAGCACAGCCCGCTCCGGGTGGCAGCGCGGAGCGCTCGCTCTTCTCTTGGAGTTTTCTTCCTCGGGACCCTGAGAGCTGCTGCCTCTCCCCAGCCTCGCAGCGGAAGGCTCTACTAAAGGGATGTCTCTTTCTGAATGTGGGAAATAACGGAGGGGACACACACCGCAGATTGGCATTTGGTTTGAAGAGGTGCCCGAGACGTCCCTTTGCCCCCGTGTAGGGTGTAAGAGCGAGATGGGACCGCCCGGCTAGAGGAGGTGACTAATCCGTCCTAGTCTCCCCGGTAGAGGTGGGAAGTGAGTTCGGGGAGTGAGTTGTCAGCCGCGGAGTTCGGGGAACCGGTCGGCCGCAGACTGCCAGCGAAAATGAAGAGTCAGTTTGTAGTAGATTGCCTTACACCTTGCACACCGCAGGAAAACTGAAACGGGAGCTCCAGCCAGTCGCTTCCGACAAGTTTCCACCGGGATTCAGGTGTGAACAGAAATAAATTTGTGATGACAGAGAAGGCTTTTAATGTTCAAGTCGCAAAGGGTTCAGTTAGGGCATGGGTTAGCTCTTCACTGCACGTGTAGTAATGCGATCTTTTTAACGCAGCTTGAGAAGATTCAGATCGGATCAACAAGTAGCGGAGGAATGCACGTGTATGTGGGACCTCCAGGATGTTGGCTTTTATGTTGACTTCCTGGTCTGTTGAATGTTGGTATTCCTGACTTGCGCGGAGAAAAGACAAGGACAAGAGCTTGATGTCTTTATCTTTGGGGGTCCTGGAGAAGGGAAGGTGGGGGCTGAGATGCATCTGTGAATGGATGATTTTGTTAAATGAAAGCCTTTAATTCTGAAGTTCTGACCTTTGAGTTAAGTCAGTTACAATTATAGAACCAGGGTCATCTCAGTCACATATATATATATATTTTTATTCTAGGAGTAGTGCTAATGTGAGAAGCATGGATTTTTGTGTGTGTGTGTTAAGTACCTAAATTTTTGACTTTCATAAGTGAAATTATGATGAACATTATAGTTGTAGTATTTTGTGATTGTCATTTCAATAGGAGAGAGTTCCCTGAAAGCTTCCCTCTCAGAGCAAGCTTGAGTCATGATGGTTACAGTCTTACTTTTTCCGGATTCCATTATGGAGTATCTAAATCTTGGTTTTTGTCAAGTCATGATGCTTTGTAAGAGAAGTGATAACTAGTGATGGTCACTAAAATGATCACCACAAACTCAGAGAGGTTATTCAGTGTTTGGTAAAATAGTTGTTAACAGTTGAAAGTGGGACAGATAGCACAGGTCCTGTGCTATCAGGTCCTGAATCCAGTATAAAGCAGCAGTCCGTCCTAAGGATCCATTACAGAGCAGCAGTCCCTCCTAAGGATCACACTGGAGCCTTGATTGAGTTGTTTTTCCTGAATGGCTTTGTGGAAGTGCTTACCCCAAGCACCCCATTAGTGGTGTGCTTAAAGTTTATTGAAAGACTTGACTTTTTTAGTCACCAGTAAATGATGGTCTTTTGATTTTAGTTTGGGGCAGGTAAACATATAGGCATGTTTAATATTTTCAGTAACAAAGTGCCTAACATGGGGCTAACCACCACAATATGAAGAACTTGTTTGAATTTTTGCTTTAACCAAGTGACTACGACAGAAATCTCATTGTATGTGGGTAAGGGGAATTCTGATTGATAGAATGAAAAGGCACATTTAAAATTGGAGAGGAATCTATTTTTATAATTTACATGGGACATATCTTACATGATGATTTCACTTTTTTAAGAAATTTTTTTTTAAAGCTCCCTAGAATGTGTCTTTTGGTAACTGAGTTTGTAATTGCTCTTGTGAGGGTGAAATCTCCCTCAGTCTTCATTTTTTAATCAGAATTTTAAGAAGGTTTGCATTTTCCTCTCCCAGTGAAGCGTGACATTCAAGAGAATGATGAGGAGGCAGTGCAGGTCAAAGAGCAGAGTATCCTGGAACTGGGGTCTCTCTTGGCAAAGACTGGACAAGCTGCCGGTAAGTGATGCAAATGGGTTGCTTTTTCTTTTACTTGGAAAGTTTCAAGTTTCTGTTGGAGTAGAGGAACATAGGAATGCATCCACACAGTTTATTAGTGGTATAATTCCATTTTATCGTCAACTTGTTGAGCTTCAGTTTTTTAGCAGGAAGCTAGGTGGACCTTTAAATTCAGTTCTTTGGTGGAAAGTTTTCTGCAGGTGAGAGAAGATCCTGTTCCTGTTGGGATATAGTGATCTGTGTGATTTGTTTCTCGTTCTAGTTTTCACTGTGTTCCCTTACATAAGGGCAGCAGCATGAGCAACAGCTGTCTTTAGTGATTTCAGCTCTGATGTATTTAAGATGGATAGTGACTTAGGCTCCCTGGACTTGAAAGTGACTAGGGATTTTGCATCCAATTCAGTGTGAGAGACCAATTCAGAGTGAGATGTTCAATGGAATGTCCTTTTTTTCTGTTAAGAGAGTGAGATGTTAAATGGAAAGAGCTTTCCCGAGATTTCTCCATTGTTATGTGGGACTTCGTGCATGTTATTGCCCAGACATTCTAGTTGTAATCGAATCATTGAGTTTCTAGGCTTGAGGTGATACTCTGATGATGGGTGTGTCCTTGGAATAAGAGTCATTGAAGTAAGAGACCAGGAAGGGCCTTTGACCAAGTAAGGTGGTAATAGTATTTAGAGAAGCTTAAGCTTAAGCTTAAAATGGATGATTTTTGTCAACTTTAAAGTGAATTTAGGTCTTATCTAATTTAGAATGGATTAAGCTAGGGTAAGGGACCTCACGAATTACTTTCCCCAAAATAATACTGTTATCCAAGAGGTACAAGTTAGCGAAACTTCTTGAACTTGAGAACTAAGATCTTTCGCAATTAAGGATGACTAACATTGTATAAAGATGTATGCAGTTGGGAGGATATGTTTATGTAGTTTTTGAATTTTATTTAAAGTATTTAAAAATATCTATAATAAAACAGTTTTTAAGTGCTGTCAACTAGTTACTATTTTAAGCACAAAAAGGATATAGTTTATTGCATCTTCAAAACAACTCAGTAATGTGGATGCTGTTGTCCATTTTACACCTGCGGAAACAGAACACAGAAGGGTTAAATAACTTATCCAAGGTCACTCATCTAGTACATGGAAGATCCAGGATTTGAACCAATTTGTCCCACTTCAGTGCTTGAGGCCTTATGGTGTAATGGTTCATGCTTTCCATAGTTAATCACTTAACGCGTTATCAGTGGTCAGTGCTGGGATTTTCACTTTATTTATTTTTTTAAGTTTATTTATTTATTTTTTTAGTAATTTCTATACCCAGCGTGGGGCTCGAACTCGACCCTCATATAAAGAATCATATGCTCTTCTGACTGAGCCAGCTAGGTGTCCCTGTTTTTTTCATTTTAGACTGACTTCCCTCCTATTTAACATATTTATGGATTCCTTTTGCCTGTCAGTTAATGTGAGCTTGGGATTGCATAATAGTTTTGATAATTGGTCCATACAAAATATAATTAATAAGGTTATTTTCCTGAAAGAATTAGAAAGTCAGATAAAGTGATTTAAGACTTTTCTGTTGTTTAAATTTCCAAATATCTGTTTTCCTCCAGTAGCATGGATAATTGCAAATAGCATGTAGTATGGTCAGTACTTCAAAAATTTATCCAAAAATGTTAACTGTTTTGCTTGAAATTCCTATTTTATGCTTTGCCCTCTCCTTATTCCTTGCCCCTCCCTTTTTTGTGACTCAGTACCTGAGAAGTTGAGAAGTGTATAGCTAAACCTATTGGAATTTAACAGGTGAATCATAAGGACTTTTAACAACTTTTCTAGGTCATTTGTCATTGTTTTCTAAGAAAGAGTCTGATGAGTATAGGTATATACTGTAGAAACTCTAAGGAAGTCTTGTACCCCACTTTGCTGTTCATAATTGATAGGTTTATATTGTTTCCTTTGAATTTTGGTTTCCTGAGAATAGAAAATATGTCTATTCCATTAATCTTCAATTTTGTTTTATTAGGCACTTAATATACAGTTAGCACTGTGCTAAGTACTCCATTAAAAAAATATAAGATAAGGTCTCTGACCTACAGCAGTCATTTGGGAATTAGTGAATGAGGCAAGGTTTGATGCATAATAGTGGTTGAAAGTGGCGCTAAGCATCATCAGACGTGATGGCTGGCTCAGGATCTGCAGATTTCATAGCTTGAGATTCTGAAAGGATTGTTTCGAGTTCTGTGACCTTTTTTTTTCTTTTTAAAGATTTTATTTATTTATTTGACAGAGAGAGAGAGAGAGATCACAAGCAGGCAGAGAGGCAGGCGGGGGGGTGGCGTGGGGTAGGGGAAGCAGGCTCCTCGCTGAGCGGAGAGCCCAATGCGGGCCTCGATCCCAGGACCCTGAGATCATGACCCGAGTGGCAGGCAGAGGCTTAACCCTCTGAGCCACCCAGGCGCCCAAGTTCTGTGACCTTCTAAAAACAAAGTTCGGGTCGTGTAATTGTAAATAATCTCAATAAGGCAGTATGATTCCTTGGGAATTAAAAATTACTTTAGGATGTATGAAAATGGAAAGAAACAGGGAATAAAACCAAGAATGAATAGCAACAATAGACTGAAATGAAAAGTGGACCGAGTCTTTGGCAACTAAGAGGTCATTTGTTTCTTTGTTGGGATAAGAAGAATAACACTATCAGTGCTTGGAGCAAATACTGTAATGCTAGCAGTTGCTAGAGCAAAAGTCAGGCTGCTTAGTTCATGTTTCACTTCAGCCTTTTCCAGGAAGGAAAATGATTTTCAAAAAGAAAAAGATAGAAAAAAAAAAAATGAGAAAGAGAGAGGAAAGAGCAGATAGGCTCTTTAAATAAGTTCAAGTCTCTAGGCTCTGACAGTTTGTCTTTTAATATCAGAAGCATAGTTCTAGCAGATATATTTATAGAGCCACTATTATTATTCTGAGAAAAGTCATGGAGGATGGACAAGTATTAAGGAAACTGAGGATGGGCAAACATTATTTTACTTTGCATGAAGATAATGGAAAGAATAATTTCTAGACCCTTTAAACTGGTAATCACTAATATCTGGGACAGATTATTGGATAAGTAGGTTTTAATCACTTAAGACTGTGGGTTTATTAAGAAAAGATTATTTCAAACTCCCCTTCATTCTCTTTGGTTAGCCTTATCAGACGAGTAGATTTGCAGGGCTCCACAGACAGCAGCTCGCCAGCTATTTTTGTAAATAAAGTTTTTTGGAACCCATCCACACCCATTTGTTTACTTACTGTCTATGATTGCTTTTGTACTGCAGTGGCTGAGTTGAGTATCTGCCAGTGAGACCACATCTCCCAAAAAGCTGAAAATATTTACTATCTGGTCCATCACAGAAAAAGTTTGCCAACCTCTGGGTTAGAGGAATGATACAGACTACATATCTGATGTAAGCAAGGCATTTGAACATTGGCCATAATATTAATGAGAAATACAGAGTATGAAGATCATTTGTCAACCTAGAGGGAAGTCTCTAGCGTCATGTCATAGGGATCTGTCCTTGTTCTTCTGGTCAGCCTCTGGCATTATGGCTAAAGCCATTTCAGAAGGCCTGCTTATTTTTTGTAGATGACTCAGTACAGTAGAGGACAGAATTAAGATTCAGAGTTATTGCCAAAGCCAGCAAGATTAAATTCAATGTGGTAAGTATAAAGTTATTTACTTAAAAAGTATTTATCAAGACAGAGGAAGATGAGGAATTACTTGTCTGTGCAAAAAAGACTTTAATATAGTGCTATTGGAAAAAAGGAAGTAGGCTATCATGTGTTACCTGTGGTGGCCAGATCAAGAGAATCAGGCCATGATTCTACTGGTCAGACCCTACCTGGAGAATTGTTTTCAGTTCTGGGTACTACGGATGGTATGTTTGCAAACTAGAGTTCATTCAATGACAAGGAATCTAGAAACCAGAACATTGGAGGAACAGTTGAAATAGCTAAAGATGTTTAGCTTGGAGAAAGGGAAAATTAAGGAGGTATAAAAGATAGTTGTCATCAGAAATTTGAAACCATGTAGAAGGAGGGTAAAGACTTGGGTCTTAAAAAAAAGAACAATTTAGTTTGACTAACATTCGAATAGTCTGCTTTCTGAACAATTCTGTCATTAGAGATTGTTCAGAATTGTTCTAGCATAGTAGGAAATACTGTGGGAGAAGGGACATTGTACTAAACTACTTTTAAAAAGCTGTGATTGTATAATTAAAATTTGTACAAATGTAAAAGGAATATGAGAAGGAGAAATCAGTGCAGCCTGGAGTTGGTTTGGAAGACATAATAGGACTTTAAGCTGGACCTAAAAGGACATCTAAGATTTACATAGGTCGAGAAGATGGAGGAGAAATTCTGCATGGGAATGGAGCAGAAACAAGGTGTGAAAGCAGACACATGTCTAGTCTATGCAGGGGTGAGTGGAGGGGCAGAATGGGGAAAATCTTAGTGGAATCAAAGGTGAGTACTGGGGAGTGAAGGAAAAGATGAACTTTTCCACTGTTTTAAGTTCCTTTCGTACCTGACACAGTCCCAGGCATCCTGTGACTGTTCAGGCAGATGAGGATTTCAGGACCCTGAATTAGCATTCTCAGGAGGGTGAGGTTTGCTTGCCCTGAATTAGAATCCTCAGGAGGGTGAGTCCACAATTGGAGAATATTAAAGAGGCGGTGGCACTAAAGTAATTTTAACCTACATTCCAAAAGTACTTCCGTAGTTAACGAGTTGGAATATTCTCATTTTTACTCTTGTTTCTAAAGATGTTCCCTTAAAATGACTTGCCACCTTTTTTTCCTATACAAGGGGAAGAAAACTTCTGTGGTAGATTCCTTTTTTGTTCATAGTTTAAGACTTAGTTCTTACAGATAAATGGAGAAAACACCCTAAGTTTTCTGTGAAAAGTTTATTCGGTGCCAGGGAAGTGCTGTTGCTAAAAGGCTAAACTGGGGAGAACTTCGGGAAGGGTGGAGAAGGGACCCTGGAATTGAACATCTTCATCTGTGTAAGGGGGAGCTGCTACGGTGGACTTGGAAATTCAGCAACAACCACAAAACACCTTTCCCATAACCTCATCGAATTTACCGGTTGTGTGGAAGTGATTTTACCTCAGGTGTCAGAGGCACAACATATTTAATGTTCTAGAAAACTGTGCTCTGAGACCATGAGTACTTTGCTGTTTATCTCTCATTAGGATGGGTAAATGAGGCCAAGAGACGTGAGATTTTCCCAGGGCCCTCATAGTAATCCAGTAGCTGAGTGCAGAATGGAATACAAATTTAGTATATATTGCTTACTCATTTTTGCTACCCTGTTACCTGCTAAGGATATTTTAAATTCCTACTATACATCATTTAGAATGATTGCAGTGACATAAGGATGGATTTTATGATCTTGAGTCACTAATTTAATGGGTATTTTGTCTCTGATATTGATGTTTACTTTTTCTTTTCTGAACTGCCTTCCACAAAGAGCTTGGAGGACTCCTGAAGTATGTGCGACCCTTCTTGAATTCCATCAGCAAGGCTAAGGCAGCTCGCCTGGTCCGATCTCTTCTTGATCTGTTTCTTGATATGGAAGCAGCTACAGGGCAGGAGGTAAGCTACTTTAAAGGCAGAAGGTAGATGATATGGAAAAAAAAAAGTGTTTCAGTGAAAGCAATGCCTGCCTACACTGTGGTACTAATGTGGAAGGGACAGCTGGGAGGACAGCTCAGGACTTATCATGTCAGTTTCTCTTTGTTACAGGGCATTTGATACTTTGGGTCTGTTCCATGCTTTGCTTTGTAAGTGGAGATTGTCAGTGGTCCCTGGAATCCTCATTACATCAGGGTCACAAACTGATTCTTGTCTTTGAGGTATTGTATTGCCACACCTTTGTAATGTTTTCTGTGTCTGTGGTACCTTTCATTCTGTGTCGCAAAGCTCTTCGTGAGCACGGAATAAGTCTGTGGCATCCCTTCTTGGCATGTTTTGTACTGCATATATGCCTTTATGGAGGGGTGAGCATCCATCTGTTTGTGTCTCATGTGTGCAGAAGTGACTCTGGTGTACCTGTACATGTCCTCTATGAGTTCAGACCAGACCCTGAACCACTCAGAAGAGTGCCTCTTTGGAATCAGGGAACCTCTTGTGAACTTTTTGAAGATAGCTATATTTTCCGCAGTTCAGAAGGAGACACTACCAAAGTTAAAACTTACTCTGTAAAAAGCAGCAGATTCAAGCAGGATACTGTTGGTAGAAAGACCATAGTTGTCTTTCCTATAGATACATTGCTTAGTATTCACTGAGTGCAGGCTGTGTGCTAAACACTGTTACATATACTGGGGATACATTTGTAAAAACACAGTCAGTGTTCTCATGGGAATTATATTTTAATGAGGAAGGCAGGCGATAAATATATAAAATGTCAGGAAATATAAGGACGGGGTAGGAATAGCTGGCTGGTTACATGTCTCACTGTTTGCTCTGGCCTCCGTGAGTGTACAAGTAAAAAGTATGAAAGGATGAGGAATTTCAGAAGTCTAGGACATATACATCCCACTTTGAAATCAGGTCTTCTGTAAAATCTGCCTTCTTGCCTTAATGATTCTTTGAGGCCTAGTTTAAACACCATAAACCCACTTCATTTGCAGAAAAATTCATTTGTAGGAAAGTTTTCACATTTGTGGCAGAACTGTGTTTCATTATAGTAGATCAAAAAGAGTTAATATTTAGATGTCTGTCTTTTGAACCAAAGCATTAGAATTATTTTTAAGAATAATTTAAAAAGAAAAAAAATGACTTTAATGGGATTTTAGTCTTATTTAACCTTTTTTTTTTTTTTTTAAAGATTATACTTTGTTCTCACGAAAAAGCAACACCATCTTTTGTTTGAAATGGGGTGCCTTATAATGTGCTGACCAAAAAATGTTAGTTTGAGACAGACTGATACATGTTCCTTGGAACTTTTTAGGCAGAAAGAATTAATTATCAAAGCTGCTCGATTACACACTGAAATCTCTGGAATTTGTCCCTTTCCGTAGCATAGAGTTGACTCAGTGGATGGAATTGCATTTGTGTAACGAGCAGTTCTCCTACTCCTTTGTGGAGGTCCTTTAAATCAGAATTCAGCGCTCTCCTATAATTGGCTAGTGGGATATACTGGCCTTTTTCATGTGGCTCTATGTCTGGTTAGGCCCTCCCATCTAAAATATCCAGTCTGCTTTACCTTTCTTCATATTTATTTTCCTTTTTAACATCTGTTTCCTCCTTAGAAGTTCCATGAGGATAGCTACTCTGTCCCGTCCCATGCCGTATCCTTGGCACTTAGAGTAGTTAGGCCCAGAGGAACTACAGAACTCATGTTTGTTAGAGGGATGTAGGGATAACGCCATGTTCAATGCTTCCCCATGTTTGATGCTTAGGAGATAGTTTGTTGAATTAAGACATAAATTTATTGAATAGAGATATAAGCATAAGTGTTGTTACTACATTTCTCTAGGTGACTCAGGGTCTCTGACTTGGAGAAATTGGAGCTACATGTTCCTCTTGAAACATTCTGAGTTCTTTGAAAAATTCTTTGAGCGATGGGAAAGGATAGGGAATCAAGTCATGATAGTATTGTCATGATAGTATCATGGCATGAAGCAAAAGAAGTTGTTTGCAGACATTGTTAAGAGAGCTAGGAATTTTGTGTTGGGGAGTTTGGTACCCAAGAGGATGGAGGAGGGGATTTTCCTTGCCTCTTTCTGTTTAGGAACTAACCATAAGTCGGATAGATCTACAAAACAGTTTTTAGCTTGCTATATTCCAGTAGGTGGTAGGAATCAGGTTAGGATGGAGTGAATTGCAACGTTGAGGTTTACAGCCTAGAAAGGGAGGAGGAGTATGTGTGAGGTAACAGGGTGGGGTGGGAGAGCGAGGATGGGGTGGTTGGTAAAGTAGTGGGGAGTAGAGAAACAGGGTGAAGAGGGGACTGAGCCAGACACTTGCCAAATGGTGAACTGGAATTTCAAACTAACCTTACCTTTCAGGGATCTCTGGGTAGTTGCCCAGGGGAAGCCATTTTTGGTATCGTCTATCCAACTGAAACCACAGTAGCACATTTAAAGAAACCTTACATCGAATCCCATTACTGAAACAGTTATTTCCATGGGAAAAAGGAGTTTGTGCTGGAGAATTTAAAATTTGGAATAGTAGTTATTATTCTTCCATACAGATCTAGTTATTGAAGACATTTTAAAAAATGATTAAGTGTATCGATTTAAAACTTAAACGTCTTGGGTGCCTGGGTGGCTCATTCTTTTAAGTGTCTGCCTTCGGCTCAGGTCATTATCCCAGGGTCCTGGGATCGAGCCCCACATCAGGCTCCCTGCTCTGTGGAGAGCCTGCTTCTCCCTCTGCCTGCTGCTCCCCCTCCTTGTGTGCTTGCACGGAGTCTCTCTCTCTGTCAAAATAAATAAAATCTTTAAAAAAAAAAAAATGTTTGATTTCTGTCACTTCAAGCTTTTGTGCTCAGATAAGGGGTTTCTCCAGAGGCAGTGGCTTCTTATATATTTTTATCCCCTTTATTAGTCATTATCTGCATTAACAAAGCACAAAGCCTCAAACAAAATAGTTGTGTAGCAAGGCCAATGGCCTTCAAAATTTTTCCTTAAAATTGAGGTGCTGGTTTTACCAATTAAAGTCCTAGATAGTGCAAATGATGCACCCAGTAACGGATAACAGATGGACCTGAACAAGAGCATTGGAGAAGCACTGGGTCAAGTTCTGATCCCAGCAGCTGGTATGTGACTTTGAGTCACTTCACATCTGGACTCGGGAAATGGGGACAGTTGAGATGATGGAGTAGAGTTCAGTGTTTTCTTAACTAGAGAGCTGCATCTCAGTGGCCAGGCTCTATTCCAGACTACTGAGTCAGGAGCCTCTGCATCCATTTTTATATTCTTAAAAAAGCTCCCTGGGTAGAACTGGGACGGTAAGCATTTCTTAGCCTTCCAAAGACACATTAGGACTAAGGACTCTTGTATTTTTATTGTTAAACACGTCCAGCAAAGCGTTTTCAGTTCCATTCACATCAGGAACAGAGATCTTACTTGGAGTTTTGCTCTTCAGAACATAACTCAAAACTCTTGCTTTTAATTTAGTTTTTGTAAAATTTTTAGGTCTGTTGAGTTTAGTGCCGGAGATTAAGTAGCCACCAGGGGGCTTCAGTGAGTTATAAAGGTTCCTTTGAGTCTTTTTCACTGGTGAATCCTCCAAATACCATGTAATGGCATCTGTTTATTTACTGAGCTTGGACTTGGGATCTAAAAGCAGAAGATCTGTCAGTTTGAATTATATGTGCTATTCATTTTCCTTCCTTATAACATCTCCCTTAGAGAACTTTGGATATACGTAAAGATCTGTTGTATCAGCAGTTAGTTGGTGATCTAACTGCAACTAAGATCTGTTGTAGCAGAAAGTTTAGTTGGTGGTTTTTTTTTTTTTAATCTTATGCTCTAATTAGGAATCTTAATACAAAACTTGCAGTAACAAAAGTGATAAAAGATCTCTAGTACTTTTTATTTAAAGATTTTTTTTTTTAATTTATTTGATAGAGATCACAAGCAGGCAGAGAGGCAGGCAGAGAGAGAGGAAGGGAGGGAAGCAGGCCCCCTGCCGAGCAGAGAGGCCGATTCAGGACTCCATCCCAGCATGACCTGAGCTGAAGGCAGAGGCTTTAACCCACTGAGCCACCCAGGCGCCCAGATCTGCAGTACTTAAAACGTAGTTTCTCAAAGCTAATATGTCACAAATACTTGATGGCATGTAGACCATCTAGCATTGAACACTGCCTTAAATCAGTTACTTTGCATATTATCTCTCTGCTTGGGTGGCAGATAGAACTGGGGATTCAAAGCACCTTTATTATTATTTTTTTAATTCATGCATTTATGTTTTTAAGTAGGCTCTGCACCGAACATTTAGTTCGAGTTAACGGGCCCGAACTTACAACTCTGAGATCAAGAGTCTTACATTCTACCAAATGAACCAGCCAGGTGCCCCCAAAGCAGTTTTAAATAAAGTCTTAAAGTCCTTTTAAGTGTTAGGCTAATTGTAATTTCTTTTTATTCCCTTTAATACATGCTAAGTGTATCGTATTGTGGTGATGAATTGGTTAGCTGCACTTAGTATCAGAAAGGGAAGAGCCAGCTGGGCCTTTTGAGTGTTATAGGCAACTGTTAGGAACAAGGCGTTTGTGCTTAGGCTGAGAATTTCTACCTTTATTACCAATGGGTTCATATTAACACATTGCCATTACTATTTGCAGCTATTTAGGGAGAAATTTCTGCTTTAAAGAATTCTCAGCCATTGTAGAAATCTGTATTTCAGGGTGTAGATGTTGAAAGTTATGGGTCCATCCTGGGAAGGTAGAAGAGGAATCTCGGAGAGGAAGCTCTTTTTCAAAAGAACACAATTCTTAAGTGCAACGATACTTTCTGTGTAAAATGCCAAGTTGGTTCTCCATTATGATATAACCATTACACAGTGAGATATTGTAGATCAAGGCATGTCCCCTGAGACATTAAGTAGAGCAACATGGATAATACATAGGAGGGAATTAAAGCTGTTCTCCAAAGCGAGGTTTGTGGGAAGAATGTGAGGACATAATATTGCATGTGTTGTCTCTTTGTTGCAGGTCGAGTTGTGTTTAGAGTGCATCGAATGGGCCAAATCAGAGAAACGAACTTTCTTACGCCAAGCTTTGGAGGTAATGTGCCTACATTAGTGCTGCTTTCAGGTCTCTAGGCATTAGATAGACTGTGAATGCAAGTAATACCATTCTGATCAAAAGTATTTTCAGTAATTTTGTATTAGCCAGGCACCCAAAGATTATTGATAGTAGTTCCGCTCATGAGAATACTTGCTTGTGTGGCTCAGAGAAGTAAGCAGCAGCCTGGTAAACTTCATAGTCACTGGCCATCGTGGCAGATGGACTGTAGTGTTGCTTAGGCTGGATTTGGTGCTCTCTCCAGAACTTGTATATTCAACAGTAAGAGTTCTGTGACTGTCAATCTTTGATTTCTTTCTTTGGCCTTTTTCTTTCTTTCTATCAGTCAATGTCTTTTCTCTTTCCTAGGCAAGACTCGTGTCTTTGTACTTTGATACCAAGAGGTACCAGGAAGCATTGCATTTGGGTAAGTAAGCTGGTAGAAAGTAATAAGGCATCTTAGCTGGCTAAATAAATGTATTCTGAACCTGGCCACTCTTAATGGTTACATATTAATAATATATGTTCTGCTTACTTCTAAGGATTTAAAGTGGCTTTGCATTTACTGAATCTGTCGTGGAGAAATGCCATTTGCAAGTTTTAAGTAACTAACCAGAGTAAATCTGTCAAATTTAGAAAACCAAAGGGTCTAACTGCATGTGTTTTACTATTAGTTTGTTATACTTGTTTATAATTACACTGTAACTCAAGAAATAAATTGGTACAAATGTATATGGTGGCTAGAGTGGGCTGACTAAAACCTTTCCCCTGTGTCGCCTTTGAACACCCTGTCATCTTTGCCTGCTGCTTTTTCTTTCTTTTTTTTCTTTTTTAATTGGTAGATTTGGACTATTTTCCCAAGATGGAAGATCATGGCTTCTTATGATGTATTAAGTTGAAAAAATTGCCAATATTCAGTTTTTATCTTGCAAAATGGCATTTCATTTGGTTCAAATAGTAGCATTACAAAAAACGAGTGTTTTTTTTGTTGTTGTTTTATTTGCTTAAGTAATCTGTACACCTAGTGTGAGGCTTGAATTCACAACCCTGAAATCAAGAGTCACATGCTTTTCAGAGTGAGCCAGCCAGCCCCCCCAATAACAGTTTTATTGAGATGTAATTCATAGACCATAAAATTCACCCTTTTAAAAATGTATAATCCCATGGTTTTTAGTATATTCATAGATAGTTGTATATTCATCCCCATGATCTGATTTCAGAACGTTTTCATCACTCTGAAAAGGAAACCTTGTACCCACGTACCCATTAGTTATCATTGCCATTATTCCCTCCCCCTGTCAGGCAGCCACTAATCTGCCTCTATGGATATGCCTGTTCTGGACATTTCCTATAAATAGAGTCATATAATATATGGTCTTTGTGATTGACATCTTTCACTTAGCATGTGTTCAAGGTTTATCTGTGTTGTAGTGTGTATCACTACTGTATTTGTTTTTATTGCTGAATATCCATTGGGTGGGTATGCCACGTGTTGTTTTAGCTGTCTTTGTGGGGGTGAAGGTGGTATCTCATTGTGGTTTGATTTGCATTTCCCTAATGACTGGTGATGTTGAGCATCTTTTTATGTACTTTTTAGCCATTTGTATGTCTTTGGAAAAATGTTTATCCAATCCTTTGCTTATTTTTTAATTGGATTGTTTGTGTTTTTATTGTTTATTCTGGATAAAAGTCCCTTACCAGATGCAAAAAAATTTGCAAATTTTTTTCTCAATTTTAGGAATTGCTTTTTCACTTTCTTGAATAATGTCCTTTGAGGCATATTTTAATTTAAAATCCATTTATTTTTAATTACTATTTATTATTTAGAGCCTATTTTTAATTTACCTTTTAATTCTTATAAATTAAAATTTTTTACTTATAATTTAAATTTTATTTTTATTTTTAATTTAATCTTATTTTATTTTTGAGAGAGAATGCATGCATGAGTGCGAGCAGAGGGTGGGCTAGTGGGGAGAGGGAGAGAGAGAATCCTAAGCAGGCTTCATGCCCAGCACAGAGCCTGATGCAGGGCTTAATCTCAGCAACCCTGATATCATGACCTGAGCCAAAATCCAGAGTTGAATGCTTAACCAACAGAGCTGTCCAGGTGCCCATAAGTCCCATTTATTGTTTTTTTATTGTTTATGTTTTTGGTATCATACCTAAGAAAGCATTGCCTAATTGCAGATCACAAAGATTTACTCCTGTGTTTTATGGGTTTAAGCTCTTACATTCAGGTCTTTGATTTATTTTGAGTTAATTTTTATATATGATCCAAGTCTGTTTGAATTTGATTTTCTCATCTGAGATGGGAAGAAGGTGTATTTGGAGAGCATTCGCATGTCCAGAATTCTTTCCTTCCTCCACCAACCTTAGTGGCTGCCATTTCGTATGTAATTGTATGATTGCTAGACAGGAAGAGAATGAGATTGAGTGGCTGTCTGAACCAGATAACTAGTTTCCGCATGTTCTGGGTGGAGATTCTTGTTGTATTCAAATCTTCGGAGGAAGCTTATAGGACTTTTGGCTCTAACATTGTCATTAGTATGCTGAAAACTTCAAAGAGATCTGTTTCTCTTTGGGAAGATAGCACATTAGTAAAAAAAATTTAGTGCTTGCAGATAGACCACCTCTATGAGTTCAGGCAGTTTTCCTTATCCTGAGTGTTCTTGTGAGGGTGGGAGAGTGAGATGTTACAGTATTAAGATTATGGCTAACAAAGGGATATGGATTTTTTCCTGCTCCAGGTTCTCAGCTGCTGCGGGAGTTGAAAAAGATGGATGACAAAGCCCTTTTGGTGGAAGTACAGCTTTTAGAAAGCAAAACATACCATGCCCTGAGCAACCTGCCGAAAGCCCGAGCTGCCTTAACTTCTGCTCGAACTACAGCAAATGCTATCTACTGCCCCCCTAAATTGCAGGCCACCTTGGATATGCAGTCAGGTAACACCCTACCTACTCGTGGGCTGTTTTCCTAAAGTTCTTATTTCACAGTGGGGAATGGCGGATGGGGATAGAGAATGTAGTTGGCTGATTCCGCTCAGGTTTCTCAGAGAAACCGAATTAGAAGGGTACTTCCCTTCTATTAACTTGTTAACTGTCTAAAATATTCTAAGAACATGCTTACCTCTGGCTGGCCAGGCAGCCTGTTTGTTAGTGCCAAGATGCTCAACAGGTTTAAAAAGCTCCTTTAACCTCCACCTGAGTCACTCATTAGGGGGAATGATTTCTCTCCAGGGTTGGACTAACCCAAGTCTCTTGTCACTTGGAGACCTTGGTAAAGCATGTTGGACTTTCCCAGAGGGCCTCAGATCAGGGCTAAGGAAGGCCTCCTTCACTACCCTGCATTTCACTTGAGTGTAGGGGATCCCTTTCTGAAGGAGTGTGTTAATATTGGGGCTCAAAGGTCATGGATTGGCAGTGGAATGCTTTTTCTCGTGGTCAGCAGCTTCTGTTAGTCATAGTTTATCATCATTATGGAAGGAGCACTGGAATTGAAGGCAGAAGATGAGTGGAAGTCCTGGCGTTACCTCCCCGCAATCTTTTAGAATGCCTGCACTACCAGCGTATCGGGTTTTATGAATAGCAAATGGTTTATTTTGTCATACAGAGATTAAGAACAGGAGCTCTACAAACCACCTTTCCTAGGTTGAAATTTTGGTTCTGTCAGTTTGATTCTGTCAAATTTTAGTTCTGTGAGACTTTGGGCAAGTTACTTAATTTATCTTTAGTTCATCTGTAAAATGGTGATAATAATCATGCCTCCTCATAGGATTGTGGTGAGGATTCAGTGCGATGATGAATGTGAAGCTCTTACTGCAGTACCTGACTTGGACCAGTATTAGTACTTTCTTTAAGCTGCTACTCTTTCATTATGCCTGTCCTTAAGGGATAACAGGTGAATTTGCAGCAGATTTCACAGAGGAATAGAGGTCATGTTTACATGAACCCTCCCTTCTTTCCTCTCCAGAATTTGTATCACAGCCCAATTTACTCCATATGAAGAATGATTCTTTCCCCTGTCCTTTTGTTGCATTCTAAGTCTTCAGTCTTTCTTCTCTACTTGTATCTTCCTCTTAGTCCTTGAACTGCCCAGCTGCAAAAAGCACAGCCCTCTCTCCTTTCTAAATTGCTGTCTTCTTTTCCTGTCAAGTTTCTTGAAAAAGTTGAAAGCGTATGCGTACTTTGGGGTCTCTTTTGACTCCTTGAAAGAAGTCAGTAACTCCCTAATAACCTCTGACTTTTAGGGGAAGTCGACCCTATTGAACACTCTATAGGCTTCTTTGACATCACTCTCTTCCTCATTCTGCTCCCTTGACCGGGTGTCTCTGGCCACACTTTGCTGTTTCCTCTTCCTTCTGACTTTTAAGTGTGGGTGTTCCTCAGTATTGTTTTCTTAGTTTTTTTTTTCCTAGTTTTTTTTTTCCCTTACTGTTCTCTGTTTCCTGTCTAAAATGCTATACTCACCCATGGCTTTAGCTGCTGCATGCCACTAGTGGTCTCCTTACCTAGATCTTCAGTAGCTTCCGTCTCCTAAATTCTAGATTCAGATTTCCAGCTGCATAGTGGATGTACATACCTGAATGCCTCGTAAGTGTCTCAGCCTCAACATGTCAAAAAGCAAAATTATTATCTAACTCCTCCCTATACCTTTTTTCCTCCTCAAGGTAATGGTATCATTATTGATTTGATACTGCTCAAGCTATTATCTTTGGAGCAATTTTGACTCCTTTCTTCCCTTACTCCCTGTATCCACTCAGTTGCTAGATGAGGTGGAGTCCGTCTCCAAACCTATCCTTTCTTTTCCATCTCTGATCACTGCTGTGGTGAAGGCCTAGGCCACTGGAGCAATCTTCTGCTGATCTGATCTGACTGTCCCTGATCCCTTTTCCCGATCCACTTTTTTTTTTAACCTGGTCCCAAAGTCATTTTTCTCAAAACACAAATCAGATCATGTAATCCCTCTGAAATTCTTCAGTGATTCCCCATTATCTCCTAATGTAGGCCCTATTTATTAATGTATTTGGGAAAGCAGTATACCAGTTCTTTGGCTTATTTTACCTTTTTTTTTTTTTTTTTTAAAACCAGTTTTACTGTGAATCTGGTCTATTCTCTTCCAGCTCTGGGCCAGGAGGTAAGGGAATGGGGATTTATCCCCTCTAGGTTAGTAGTGTTAATAGTTCAGTGGACGTTCTTAAAGGAGCTCAAGTGAAGAGTGGAGTTTCTCTAGCTCTTTATAGGTAAGAACAGGAGAGAATAAGGGTCTGATTCCTTTAGCCTCAAAATGAGAGGCTTCTTGGGTAGAGTAAAAAGTACTGGAGTGTGGCACATACCATACTCAATAAATGGTATTAAGTCCCCAGATGGCGTGGAGGCACATAGCTATGTGACAGGTGGGTTGAAAATGTGCTGATACATTGTCCCCTTGGGTCATGTGTAAGCAGTTTCATCCTTCTACTTCAAGTTGCTGAATACTTTGTCTTTGTACCTCAATGTGAAAAATGTTGGGAAGCACTGTGGTAAACAGGTGGGGCTGAAGTCTGTAACCTCATAAGGGGCTGAAGCAGAGTTAGAATGGATACACACACTCGGAGGGCTTAGATGCCTCCCAAGCTAGGAGGAACTAAATTTCTTTTTTCTTTTCTTTTTTTTTTTTTTAAAGATTTTACTTATTTATTTGACAGAGAGAGAGAGATCACAAGTAGGCAGAGAGGCAGGCGGGGTGGTGGGGGAAGCAGGCTCCCTGCTGAGCAGAGAGCCCGATGCGGGGCTCCATCCCAGGACCCTGAGATCATGACCTGAGCTGAAGGCAGAAGCTTTAACCCACTAAACCACCCAGGCGCCCTGGAACTAAATTTCTTCTTGGATAGCACAGGTTGGAAGTAATAGCAAGTTCAATCAAAGTTAGCCTCATTGGGATCAACCCAACTTCTAAATGGTAGAAGCTTGTTTAGATAAACTATTCTATCTCAGCCTGAGGAAATACTGCTTAACCATGTCCAATTAAATTAATTTCATGGATCTGGCATTATATGAAATCTATATATTGATTGCTCTAGGCAAGAGCACATCTATAAATGACAACTATCAAGAGTATAAGAAATTGGATTTTTTTTTTCTCTTTTGAGAGCTGCTCACATACAAAAATGTCAAGCTTAGAAAAGCTATCTTAAATGTTACTAAAATAGGTTATTTAGGCAGGCAGTCCAAGGATGTTTGGTTCAACTTCCTGACGTATGAGGGTGATGTCCTGAAGGGTAACTGTGGCCTTTTCTAGTGGCTTCAAAAGATAGCAGAACCATAATGGTTATGAGAAGCATGGGGAAAGATGTTAGTGCATAGTTTTTAGGATCCCTTTTAAGTAGGGTCTCTCTTTTGGGATTTATATTGTCAAGATGACATTGAAACTGGGAGGTTAAAGATCTCATTCTATCTTTACTAGCTGGCAGTGACTTTAGGGCAGGTCCTTTAACCTTTCCTGACCTCATCACTAAATGAGTGGCATTGGGATAGATTTTGGAGGCTTTCCCCAGCTCTGATCTTCGATGGTTCCATTATTTTATATCGTTTTTACTCCTGTCTTTTCAATGTCCAGGTATTATCCACGCAGCAGAAGAGAAGGATTGGAAAACTGCATACTCCTATTTCTATGAGGCATTTGAGGGTTATGACTCCATCGATAGCCCAAAGGCCATCACATCTCTGAAGTACATGTTGCTGTGCAAAATCATGCTCAACACGTATGTGCCTGTTAACTTGGGGTTATGAGAACTCAGGTTCTTCACCTTGGTTTTCTGCCATGCAGACATAGCTTGCACAGGGAGTTTGGCTGGTTAGAAGCAGCAGCTGCCGCCTGTGGGACTGGGTTGACTTATATAAGAGTGGGAGGATCGAAGGTGTTCCCCAGAGCACTTTTGCTTGCTAGTTTTTGAGAATTGGGGAGACAGATGAGAGAAATCTCTTTTCCAGACCATGGACTGTTCTCGTCACCCTGCAGTTATTCTGACCAGGGAGTTGCTGAGCACCAGACAGAGGGCCTGGAAATAGCTTACAGTCCAGCACTGGCCCACTGGGCCACCCAGAATGGGGGTGGGTTAAGGAAGAAGTTGAGAGGTTTGAGAAGGGGAACAACAGCAGGTAGGACAGATCTTTTTATAAGGAATTCTGGAGAATTTATCCACATTCGTTTGGGAATAAATGTGATATTGACTAGGACTTTTTGGATCTCTACATTACACAGGGGTTGTGTTTTAACAAGACCTGTTGTCCGGGGATTTGACTTAAATTTATCATCCTGCCTTTTGGGTTTATTACTTTTGGATTGTTCACTGTGACTTTCTTTTTAATGCTGGAGTTTTTCTACTCTTCAATGCTGAGCTTGGGCCTAGAGTAGCGAAAGCCTGGCTTCTGTGAGGTGAGGGACATAATGGGTTTTGGGGTGAGGCTTCTCATCTCTGTGGGCAGTCTTCTCAGGGGAATTTTGAGATAAAGAAATTTGTCCGAACCTATACTTAGAAGCATAACATCCTGGAGCAGTGACCAAGTTTGTCTTTTTTTTTTTTTTTTTTTTTTCTAGCCCAGAAGATGTCCAGGCTTTGGTGAGCGGGAAGCTTGCACTTCGGTATGCAGGGAGACAGGTAGGGAATACCTTGACTGCAGTTCTCATCACTGCTTGCTTGAAACCAGTACGTCATCAGTCATGATGCCTGGTGGGACCAGTGCTCTTCACGTCTCCATTCCATGTTCTCTGAGTGTCCCCCACCCAATTCCTTCTGCCAGCCCTTTTCCCGTAAGCCCGTTCTGTGTATTTTCTACGTTAAATCCTTGGCCCAGAGAGTCAGTGTGCGGTGCTCTTATAGGTGGTTTGAAGGGGTTCTAGAACCGAACGGGAGCATTTGTATGAGTTAGGCTGCGTTTAGCTTTGACCAAAAAAATTTATCTATCATGAGCCTGACTTAAAAACTTAACATGTGCAGAATATGAAGTGTTGGGTTCTCCAGGAGTTTGGAGGCTGTTAAGGTTTGGTGCACTTGTGCTTTATAGGGAGGTCAAAGTGCTTGGTGCAGAAACTGGGTTTTGTTTTGTTTTTTTAAGATTTTGTTTATCTGAGAGAGAGAAAGAGATTGGACCAGGGAGGGGTAGAAGACGCAGACTCCTGCTGAGCAGGGAGCCCAACATGGGACTCTATCCCAGGACCCCGAGATCATGACCTGAGCTGAAGGCAGGCACTTAACAACTGAGCCACCCAGGCGCCCCAGAAACTGGGTTTTGAAGGCTCACCCAAGTGCTTCTAAGTACGTTTTCACTCAGGTCCTGAGTTTTGAGTGTGGTTCAAAAGACCTTTGATAGTCATTAGTCCCTTTTGTGCCTGAGTAGGTATGAGTATGACATGTGTTAAAGATGGTCTCAGGTTCCTGGACCATCTTTCCTTTGTACTTTGTCTGATTATCAGTAGTAACAGTAATCTTTCTAGGTTTCAAATGCAGTTGTCTCTAAACAACAGACACATTAGCAATCTCCTATCTTTAGAGGAATGGCCACAACAGATGGTTTCCTTCTTTTCTACGAGTGGCCCTAGTTTTGGGATCCTAGTTTTGACCACAGGAATAGTTGTTATTACTACAGTGAAGGACTCCCTGCCCTATTTAGAATTAGAGTTGAAGAAAACGGGCTAAGAGAGGGCAAGTGTCCAGGACAGGATCAGGTAACTATTAAATGGGGGAGCCAGACTTTAAACTTGGGTTATCTGGCTCTTAGTTTCAGGCTTAACTCATTTGATATTTGTTCTGTCTGTGGGACAAATGCTGACACACAATACACTAATGATTAGTTTTGCACCATGTCAAAGTCTGTCATAAAACACACACCATCCTTATGTAAGTGCATAGGCTGGTACCAGAGGAGCTCCTTCTGGTCCTTTGTGCCTTGATGAGAGCTTTTAAGCAGAAGTCAGGACAGACTCCCAGAAAGATCGTAGATTTCTTGCTGAGTAGAGACTTGATAAGTTGGTGACGTGCCTTTTATAATCAAGTTAGAAGGTGACCTCAACCACTGATTATACCTTCTTCTCTCTGTGGCATTTTAACATTGAGTGCAATTTGTGGAATTTTGGTGGCTCAACCCTAATGAAAATAGACCCTGGCTCGGGCTCTCTACTACACCTAGCAGAATAAGACTTGATGAAGCACAGGTACGACCTGAAGCTAAGGGCAGGAAAGAGTTGGGTTTTGGGGGTAAGCAGCCTTGGAGGAGGGGGAAAGAGATCACAGTTCTCTGGTCATTGTTTCTTGTAGCTTGTCATCTTTAGAGAATGCTATGTAAGGGCCTTTTTTTCCTTTTTAACTTTTTATTTCCTAGTATATTTAAGTAATTGCAGATTTCAAAGGGAGACTGGTTGGGACACAGCGGGGGTGGTCTGGCTTCTCTTCCCCGGCCTCTGAAGATGATCGGTGGTGGGGCAGGATCTTCTTGCAGCCAGAAGTTGTGTGGACATAGCATACTGCTTAGGACATTGATTGGATGGAATGTGAGTGTGCAGAATAGATCGCTGTCACTGTTTTTCTCTTTATTCTTAGACAGAAGCATTAAAATGTGTGGCTCAGGCTAGCAAGAACAGATCACTGGCAGATTTTGAAAAGGTAAGCATGGTATTGGGTTGGTAGGGAATGGGTGGAGGAGAGGGACATTTACATACTTAAAAAAACCTTTTATTCGTAAATAATTATAGTTTCACAAGAATTTTCAAGGATAGTACACAGTGATTCTGTGTACCCTTCACCCAGTTTTCCCCAATGGTTACATCTTAATTATAGTACATTATCAAAACCTGGAAATAAGTACTTTCGTACAGTGAAGCTTGTTGAATTGTAATACCTCATTTATATTTAGTACCTTTCAGTTTCAAAAAGTTCTTTCATCGGAGGTGCCTGGGTGGCTCAGTCAGTAAGCATCTGACAGGATCTCGGGGTCCTGGGAACGAGCCCCACGTTGGGGAGTCTGCTTCACTCTCTCCCTCTCCTTTTGCCCCTCCCCCTGTTCATGTGTGTGCTCTTTCTCTCTCTGCTCTCTCAAATAAATAAATAAATCTTTGAAAAAAATGTTCTTTCATCCTTTTTCACTTTGATTTTTCACAACATACCTCTTCTCTGCATTTGATGGTTGAGGGAGCTGGGGTTCAGGGAAGGTGCCTGAAGCCCCACAGCTTACATGTCAGGGATCGACGCCAGGCCTGGCACTTGTTCTTCGGGTTATGTTTGTAGGGTTTCCTTCAGCTCCAGAAATACCAACTCTCCTTCTCTGGGGGCAAAAGAGAAGTCTTGATATGTGCAAATGGACCAGAAGACACCTCCTGTGAGGTTGACATTCCAGGCTTGCTTTGCCTTCTGTGACTTTTACTCATTGTTAGCAAAAGTTTGAAAAGGGAGAAAAACATACCTAAGCAGTAAAGTGAAACTTGTATATTCTCTGCTGAGTTTCCTCTTAATCTGAGTAAAGTGGCCAGTTTAATTAAAAACAAACGTAGATCTACGAAGAAAACTTTGTGCAGACAGAGGTTAGACCATTTGACTCTGGCTTTCCCCAAGATTCATAGTCTTGGTTGAGCTTTCTTGCCAATTTTACGTCCTTACTTGGCATGAGTTGCTTGCTTCTCTTAACCCCTTATAGCACAGCTGACATGAGGCTGGATCTTGAGACCATTTCTCAAAGTAAATAAATTACATACATGAATGAACAAAATAGACTAGATCATTTTATCCTAAAGTTTGGGATGTCTGATGGGATACTTCTGTTACTAGGGGTTCCCTGGGGTATGGGTCTGGGAAACAGGAGGACGAAACAAAATTAGGTGTTTTGCATTCTGTTAACTGCAGAACTGTATGCTGATGTGCTTGTAAAACTCCACAAGCCACTTGTGGGATTCAGTATTTCCCATTATTTTTTTACTTTTTTTTTTTTCTTTTTTCTTTCGAGAGCGTGGGTGTGCAAGCTTGTATGCACAGAGGGGGAAGGGCAGAGGGAGAGAGAATCTTAAGGAGACTTCATGCCCAGCTCGACATGGGGCTCGATCTCACGTCCCTGAGATCATGACCTGAGCAGAAATCAAGGGTCAGATAGATACTTAACTGACTGAGCCACCCAGGCACCCCAAGTATTTCCCATTATTTAACCTCAGAATTTTTTTTTTTCCCCTGGAGACCCTATTTGCTCTGTGGGATACCTGTGGAGAACTGCTTTTGTAGTGGATTTGGCTTTCAGGCTGAGCTGTTCGTGGGGCTTACATGGTTTGAGCTGTCAACACAAGGCTTTCCTTCAGAAAGGTGGTGCCTAGAGAGGGCTCCATCTTTTAGTTCCTAATGGTTCCTTTCTTCTCCCTTATAGCATAGCTGTAAGGCTATGTTTTAGCTCTTCTTTCATCTCAAATTCTCTAGAACTTGAGTTGTTCATGTATTTACGAGGTCCAGCAGACTGCTTCGGAAGCCAGGAGTGGCGTGGCTTCAGGGGCTTCTCTGTGCCGATGCCTGTGACCGTCTTTCTTGGCAGGCCCTGACAGATTATCGGGCAGAGCTCCGGGATGACCCAATCATCAGTACACACTTGGCCAAGTTGTATGATAACTTACTGGAACAGAATCTGATCCGAGTCATTGAGCCTTTTTCCCGAGTTCAGGTAAGGACCCGCCTGGGGACTCTAGTTCTCTGGCTAGGCGTCCTCTTTAGTCCCCTCGCTTGCCACACCAATGCAGAACAGGAACTTGCTTCCAAGACACTCTCTGGTGGGCAAGAGGCTTGGGCTTTTTTTGACACAGGAACAAGAGTTGTGAGAGTGCCATGGGGTGGAGGCTGGTGAGATTGCCTCTGCTTGTCCTGAGTGCAGTCCCCTCCTTGCTTCTGTGGTCACCGTGCATGTGGTAGACGTCTGTGTAGGGGGTGTGTGGGCCGGGAGTGTGTTTGGTCTAGTGATGAGAGACAGGCAGAGGGACAGAGCATGAGGGGCCTGAACAGGACCCAGGAGAGTCTATTCCTGGGGAGAGACACACTCAGCAGACACAGCTGTCACACCCCCACCCTGCCCCCAGGTTAGAGGAAGAAGTAGGACTCTGAGTGTCGCTGTCTCTGCCTTTTCTTGTAGATTGAACACATATCTAGCCTCATCAAACTCTCCAAGGTAAGGAGTCCTCAGCTTGTCTTGGGGGTGGGGACGGGGAAGGGGGCATGTGGAGGCGGTTAGCATTTCTACTCCATGGGCCTTGTTGGAAAGTCCTCAACTTCATAGTGTGGAATGGCGACTGTGAGCTCAGAGCTCGAGTTACATTGTTGCTGTTTTGTTTACAGTCCATTTGCCGTTTTATACATAACTTTCTTGTCAGTGTGATCTTTGACTAGTGGATACCCGTCCCTTTAATCATGTGCTTTGATTTTAGGCCGACGTGGAAAGGAAATTGTCACAGATGATTCTTGACAAGAAATTTCATGGTGAGTAACAGTGGTGAAGCCGTTGATGCACGAAGCTCTTATCATCTCGAAAGGAAATGTTCCATTTGTTTCACCTGGTGGCTCCCTGGGGCCCTCTTCTCTCCCTGTGAGGAGATGAGGAGACTGCATAATAAACATGCGCAGATGGCACATGGAGATGACTTCTGGTTCTCCTTTCTGGAGAAAGGGAGGCAGCTAGGGAGTGGGCGGGCGGCTGCTCAGGTGCCTTTATGTCTAATCCCCTCTTTTACCTGGGTTGCCCTTGTGTTTCCTGCAGGGATCTTGGACCAGGGGGAGGGTGTCTTGATTATTTTCGATGAACCCCCAGTAGATAAAACTTACGAAGCTGCTCTGGAAACAATTCAGAACATGAGTAAAGTAGTGGATTCCCTCTACAACAAAGCCAAGAAGCTGACATAGGTGAGTGCTGGCTCCGGACCGGGACCGGGCAGCGCGTCTTCCGCCTGTCGAGACCGAAAGCCTCCGGGCGGCCTCGAAGCTTCCCCGATTGACACTGCTCTGTCTTCTCTTGCAGAGTTGGATCCGTAGCGGTCCTTTGGAGAGTGTGTGTGGCGGGAGAGTGAAACCTTTGGGGAAAATGCTAGGAGATTCTTTTTTCTTTTTGTTCTACTTTTCGCTCGGAAAGTTTTTAAATCCTCATTTGGTGCATCTGTATTCCAGCCAATAGGTGTGCCAGTTTTCATGTAATCTTTACTGGCCCAACTTGGGAGTGGGGAAATTGCTTAAAAAAAAAAGAAAAAGAAAAAAAAAAGGTTATTCTAAATAAAAGGAAAAAGGCTTACACTACCTAAAGCTGTGCTCTCTGCCTCCTGGGAGAGGGCCGCAAAGCCAGGTGCCCCGCCAACCACTGGGGCTCCCGACCCACCTGCTGGGCACCACCTCTCCTCCTCTTCAGAATTGGGTGTTTGCCTGACCATCAAAGCAACGACTTTTTATTCTGTTTGTACTGAACCAAAACAAACAACTGTGTATAGACTGCTATTTTCTTTTTTATTTGAAACGAGGCGTTTCGGTGTTCTTTCCCCTGCCACATGGCCTGTCACCCCCCCCCCCCCCCCCACCGGCCGACAACGGCTCCAGTAGACTGGCCAGAGGGCCCGCCGCCGCCACCGCCGCCGCACCTGCACGGCTCCGCGATGACCTGTGGAGGAATGGGGACGAGGCCAGGAGCTAGTGTCCACCAGGGCCACACGGGAGCAGTGTGGGCCCTTAGGGGGCCTGCTGTGCATGTGGCTCTTTTTAACACAGTAAACTAGATTAGACGTCAGTGTTTTAATTGCCCTTCTCCTCCGCTCTTCTCTGTCCTTTCTCTTTCCCCTCTCGACCAGGAGACCATCCCATGTCTCTCTTCCTCCCTCCTTCCCCTCTAGGGGAGTCGGGCTGTCTGAAATCCATCAGCTTCTCTCCCTGTCCCACTCCTCCTCCTGCTGTCAGATGGATTTAATCTTTTTTTAAACAAGTGAACATTGGAAATGAGACTGTGGGGTGTGGGTTTTTCTTTCTTGCTTTCTTTTCTTTTTTTTTTTTTTTTAAACCTTCGTTGTTGGGTTTTCGAGCAACCTCATGTCCCCCTCCCAGGGAGCTGCTTTATTTACCTCTTAGAAACTGACCGGCTGGGAGGTAGAGCATTGTATTTCAGCATGCTTTGTGTTATGGTAAGATTGTGTAATGAGGCTTTCTGCCATTTGGGCAGGTAAGCTTCTGCACCTCTGTCGCGCCCAGCTGTATTCCTTCCTCCTCTCATCCGTCTTCTCTTTAACTCCTCCCTTCCTGCCTCCTCCTGCTGGCCTCCTTTTCTCTTTCTTTCCCTTTCTCAGATTATCCTTCCAGGTTTTCGTAATAAATTTATATTTTGTAAAAGGATTTTGTTGTACCAGGTTTTGCATCCTCACTGAATCTGACTGGCTTTTACTTTCCTCTCCAAAATCAGGTTTTTGTTCTCAGCATCTCTCCCCATCATGTCCAGTCACTGTTTTGGTTTTGGCACCATCAATATCAAATGTACAAACGGTTCTTGCTAACCAACACCAGGTATATCTGATGTTCAGATGAGTTCCAATAAAAACAATTTTTTTTTTTTTTCAAAAAGTGTCCTTTTCTTGAGTGCTGGAGGGCTTCTGATCAAGTCTGCACAGCTCTGTAGCCTTCTAGACCCGCCAAAGCTCTGGTACATCATTTGCTTTGTGGGAGACCTTTAGATTTGGGGTAAAGTGGAGGGCTTTGGGTAAGAAAGGTGGTCAGTGAGGTCTGAAATGGGAGGTGGTGTGCAGGGATCCTTCTGGTTTTCCAAGGCAACAGGGTCCGGTGAGGATAGGGGGTTTGGGCTGCTTCCTTGGGAGGCAATTGTGCTATGAAGGTTCTATGAGGTGATACCACTGCAGGTGCCTGGAGAGTCCTTTTAGTTGTGGTTTTGTTTTTAGTTGGAATCCTCAAAAGCAGTGATTTTCATACCGCCTCTCAGACCCTGGCAGCAGCTTGAGGGGCTCTGAGGCCAAGGGGGCAGGGGGGGCGCTCACTGCCTGCTCCACTCCAGTCCCAACTGCGTTTTTACTCTGTTTCAGTTCTGTGGAGTCTCCTGTATAGTTTCACTTGCGGGAAGAATTTTGCTTTTTGCTGACCCTGCGGCAGAAGAGGGGGGAGTTCCCCAAGCACAGGGCAGCCCCGAGGCTCAGTTGGCAGCGGCCCTTCCTCTGCTCCCTTTGTGGGTCTGACGGTCTCTAGACCTGCGCTGTCCACTGTGCAGCCACTGGCCACACGTGGCTGCGGAGCCTTCGACATGGGGCTGGTTCCGAGTGTGCTGCTGCAAATGTAAACAAACCGGACTTTGGAGACAGTATGAAAAAAATGTAAAATAGCTCAACTTTTTTATATATATGTTGAAATATTTTGAGCATAATGGGCTAAATAAAATATATTATTAAAATCCACCCGTTTCTTCCTTTTTTTTTTTTTTTTTTTTAAATGTGGCTACTCGAAAATACTCAAACACCTGTGTGGCTTGCATCTGCAGCTCACGTTCTGTTTTTCTGGGCAGTGCTGCTCTAGGCCTCCAGGCCTGCTCTCCCTCCCTGGCCTCAGGTGCGCTGGGGCTGGGCACAGCTGAGTGGGCCTGGTGGCCCGTAGGCTGGCCTGGGCCTGGCTTCCTCACCCAGGGACCCTTCCTGGAACCAGCCCTCAGGGTGCCAAGGGTTTCTTGTGTGCTAAGGAGACCACGCTGGTGTTGGGGGCTGGCGCTGAGGCACTTGGCTCTGGAGCGCGGCTGCGGGCTCGTTACATAACCTGTGCTGCCCAGAAGCACCGCTAGATGCTGCTCTGTGATCCCTGAAGGAACAAGGCATGGCTTCCTCAGAAGCCAGGGCTTAGCCCTGCTTTATTTGGAGCCCTCCCGGAAGGTAGCCGGCTGGGGCCTTCTCTTTCTCAGGGTGGCGTGGGGATGAGGCCATGCAGAGGACAGGGATTCTCTGTGACACCTTGGATACCAACAGTGTAGATAAACAAGCAGGCTGGCCCTTCTGGCTATAGAATGAATAGGCTGGCTGACGTGAGGTCTGGAGCTCTTACCTACAGTTCTCTGAGGAAGACTGGGAAGAAAACAGCTCTGCCTTATTCAGCTGGGTCTGCGTTCTGGGCCTAGATTCTGCCGTTTCTGGCAGAATCTGCCTTGCCTTGCAACTGGAGCTGTGATGGGAATTGGGGGTGGTGGCGGTGGTGAGTGCCCCGAAACAGTGGGCACAGCAGGGGGGTGGACAGGACTTCCAGACAACCCCTTTCCTCGGTCAAAATAGCAAGTGGGCTGGCGGTGCGCATTTTGTTCGTGCTGGGCTGCAGACTTGGCTTTGCCTTTGACAAGTGTGACAAGGTTGAGGTAGTAACGCAAAGAGCTCTTCTTGAAGGTGCTTGGGAAGGCTGGGTGGATGACGGCGAGAGAGGATACCAGTGTGGCCAGACTGGAAAAGGGCCAGGCAAGGGCCTGCTGCTTTGCTTTGGGAAATGAAGTGGGGTAAAGCGGACCTTGGTCACTGCCTGCCATGAATCGGGATAGCTAGAACTGAAATTTGTAGGTACAAGTAACAGGGTGGCTTGAAGGTGAGGCTTACAGACTTCGATATCTAGGCATATTTTGTGAAGTGGAAAGCATTTAACCTCTGCTCAGCACCAGGATCCGAAGGGTACCTTGAGAGGCAGTGTGGACAAAGGCCCACTTGGGAGCTGGGCCTCTCCACCAGGGGGCCTGGAGGGAAAAAGGCTTTGCCTTGGAGACAGAGAGTCATTGGGCCAGGGGACCTGGAGTAGATTACTTCTTCAAACTCCTTACCCTCCTTTGTGTCGGGAAGGAGATAAGTTGCATCTCAAGAGTAAGAAGAGGTTGCACACAGAGGAACACGGGGAGGGAAGAGCCCGTTGAGCTAAGGGTTAGTTTTCATCGGAGTTAAGATTCGTGGGTGTTTCAGAAGTAGCCCTCTGGGTACACAATAATGCATTTTCCATTATATGGTCACCAAAGTCTTTAAAGCTTTCAGTTGCCACTGTTGACAAATTGCTGGGTTGTACATATACACATTCGATAGCAGCATTGTTTTTGTGTAGGGCCGTATGGAGGCAGCACTGGCAGAGCTGGCCCAGGTTGACGGCCTCGTGTGCTGGAGTGGCTTGGAGTCCGGGAATTGGTAGTTAATCTGGATTACCACGTATCTTTTGATCTAGAGGCGATAAGCTGGATGAAGATAGGTTTGACTCTTCTGGTTCTCCCGTTTGTGCATAACTCTAAATCAGTTTCCAGAATCAAACTAAAAGAAAAACAAATGAAGAATGGCTCTTGTGAAGGATCTGAATTCTTGTCTTTGAGAGGAACTGTTCTTACTGGAATAAGAATTTTACAATGACTGGCACCACGTCTACAAATGATAATGTGGTTAGCATGAAAAACATGAAAAACATCGAAATCAGAGGATCAAAGGGTTGGAAACGCAGTGGCTTCAGTTTTACTATAACTGATAGGAGGGCCACTGGAAATGTCGAGGTCACGTTTGTGAAGGATTGGCCCATCTCTGGGGCAGCGGCCCACCCGGGGGGCCTCAGAGCCCCGTCCCAGGTGGGTGGGGGAAAGCCAGTCGCTGTTACCTGGACCAGCCCAGAACTGCCTACGCCTCTCTGGCCTGGATTTCTATTTACCCGGGCTCTGGCCCTTTACCTGAGGTGCGGGAATACAGGCCCCCGGAGGGGGAGACATGAAAGTCGATGGGGCAGTCCATCAGGCTGTGAGTGGCTTCCGCAAAGGCTTCGCCTCCCCCGGCTCGGGGCCTTCCTCCTGGAGCTTCCAGGCTTCTTTCCCGGGGGACGAGGATGTTAATGGAAAAAAGGATCTCGGGGCCCCGGCCGGCCTCTGTGGATGGCGTCTGCCGCGGCAGCCTCAGCCCGAGCGGGCCGCGCGTCGCCAGGGCGGGGACGCGGCGGAGAGCGCCCCCGCGGTCCGCTGCTGCGGGCGCCGCGGCGGGAACAAAGGCAGCACGTGTCTGGGCGGGGCGGCGGGCGGGATCGGCCCTCGGCCCCGCCCCCGGCGCACGCCCTCCCGTCCCCCGCCCGGCCAGAGCTCGGCTGCGCGGGGCGCCGGGGACTCTCACGCGGCCGGGCGGCTGCTGGCGCGGCGGCGCAGAGCAGGCGGCGAGCGGTGCGGGAGGGGCGGCCCCGAGAGGCGGGGCGGGGCCGGTGCCGCGAGTACCCGCCGCCACCGCCCGAGTCCGGGTCCCAGATGGGGTGCGGCGAGTAGAGGCGCTCGGGCTCGCGGC